AAGGCTGTAGCTCCTCCTGCCTAATTGGTAACTATTCAAGACACCTCTAGCAATATTTGTGAAATCTTCAGAAATCATGGAATTTTTTTTCATCAATATGACTAGTCCTCATCAAAAATTACTACATCTTTTAGGATGAACATATCTCACCTAGTCACACATCTGCCACAAAAAAAGTTGGCAGCTATAAAAATATCACATTCCATTTACCTCATTTTTGCATAGAATCTACCAACATAGACTTGAAAAGGGCCGAGAAGCAGGAAAATGAAAATACCAGGCAGGATATAGATTCCAATTTCACGCCAACAAAGGATTGCTATGACAACAACCATCAATGGAGCAACCCAGGTATAATGAAAAAATATTGTCACCTTCCAAAATAAAAATACCAACAACCGTAATGTAAATAAATTTTTTTTGCCTTTTCATTTGATTTGTACATCTATCCATGACAAGAAGACAACAACCTTTTCAAACAAAGATACAAAACTAGTTACTTACTTTTTGACTTATTAGTGAATAATCAAACTTTGCATTACCAAGATGTTGGACAGTCCTCCAGTTTTTTTTTCACTCTTTTTAATTTTCAAATGTATTGAGTAATCAGAGTAACTTAGCCAACAAATGAAAATCACGGCTTTACATTCTGACTGAGTCTTTAACCCTTTAACTCCCATGAGTGACCAAGATAGAATTTCTCCTTACAATATCAATACGATATGAACTAGATAAGTGATGAGAATAAAGAAAAATATCAATTTTGGATAATTCGTTGACCCAGTAATAAATTCTCTGAACTAAGATCATAAAAATTGTACGGTTGGCAGTAAGGAGAATTACAAATCTGATCTGGGAGTTAAAGGGTTAATTAGTTTCCCTTTGTCCTGATTGGTCAACTTCATTAATTTCATTTTGGTTTCACAACACCTTGATGAAAAGCCCTTTTTGTATTTTGATCTGACTTCTCATAATCATATGATTGGTTTGAGGATAAACTCCTTCCCTGATGTCTCTCCTATCTCTTTTTAACAAGTAAGTGAGATCAGAAGTTTTCATTACCCACTCCAGTCTTTGTATATCATTAGTAACAAGGTTCACTATTTGACCAGTTGTTGTTTTGATAAAAGACACATGACTTAGTCGCAGTGCCTGAAAGATGAAAATCATTCATGTCAGTTATTAGAAAGAACAATAAACAAGGGTGGAAACTTTAACTTTCCCACTTAAAACATTTTGCGATCACAGTGTGATCACATGTAACACAGAAAACTTGCAAGTTTATTAAAACGGTAATCAAAGGTCTTCGAACAATCATCATGGGTCATCACAAAACTCTATCCAATAATCATTTTAATCCTAATATATAATAATTATCTATAATTCCTTATCAATAGCACTAAGTTTACTAACCTTTCTATATATGAGCGACCCTGCAGCTAGCCTCAAATGCAAACCGCACCTTTGATTGATGAAAAAATTGGGAGCATGTAAGGCTCCTTCAGAAAAGGCACACAAAGAAAGAAGAGCAGCTGTAATGTACGCATCAGTGCGACTTATGGCTGGATCTGGTTGGAAGTAACTGAGAAGTCTGCCAATAAGCAGAGGAGCTGACACTTTCAATCCTTCCTGAACAAAAATAACAAAACAGATGACTTGTTAATTACTGCAGACACTAACAATCTTTGATTGGTGCATATCCCTATTATTTCTAACATTAGCATAACATCAATGTAAGAATTAATGATATCAATTTTTCATATACTTCCCTAAACAATATTTATGTTGAATACAACCCCATTTCCGAATTTTTCCAAAATTTTGCTAATTAATGAAAACTTATATAGTACAATCTAGGAAAGTACAACCTAAATGTTCTGGCATCCTTCCACAATGTTTCAGATCAGTATGTTTCAGATCACATGCATGATTTGCATGCAGTATTCTGCACACATTACTAATTTCAATATTCATCCTCTAAGTGCACTGCTAGAAAGAGAACAAGAGGCTTTTTTTAGGTCCATGAGTACTCAAAAATTACTAAATGAAACCCCAAGAAACATTTACTGGAATCGATGAAGTAAAGAGAGGAACATGTGGATTTATACTGTCACACATTAAATATGTTATCCCAAATGTTGCAATCAACATTGCCTTGGTTACAAGTCAGAACAGTTACAACCTTTATATACGATTCATTCAATCTAGACACATAACCAAGACTTAGCAACTGCTTCAAAATCTTTTAATATGCAAGATAAATATGTAATGATGTGAGTGGCAAAGACTCATTCTTGTTTATCTACTAGCTAAAATTTTCTTTGCACCAAACTGTTTCAAAAAACAAATCAGACTCACCTCAATTATTGGAAAAATAGCAAGCATGAAATAGCGGATTCCCAAGAACTTAATGAAAGCATTTCTGAGCCGGGGTTTTCTACCCTTCCTCTGGGCATCTCTCAGTTCTTCATTCCAAAGTCTACAAACAGTAAATAGCATGTAACATTACATTTAAACTAATTTAGCCTAAGCATTGGCCAATGCACTAGTCCAGATCAACTTCAATCTCCTCCATACCAACAATGAATACTCCACAAGTATTCATCAAGGAGGTTAATGTCTACCACTTAATTTCACCAAGACTAAGCTAAACAATTGTTCCATAGATACCACATGGAGACCAAAAATTAAGTCTATTTAAACATACCAACAAGGGTCTAAAATTATACTCCTGAGACACAATTTTATCACAAATTTAACCATTTCTAACATAAAAAAACAACTAAAAAAGATTATTAAACAAACTTTTCAAGTCTATCAGCCAGTCCTTTAGCCTCTTCTTGAGGCAGAATTTTATAGATATCTGAGTTATCAATGGGATGCCTGTATCCTTTACTGAAGAAATTGTTCATCCACCTGAAAATCATGATGATTTTAACTTATAATCAGATTGGCTTACATCCTCTACAATCTGTTACATGACACCAGTATACTTATATAACCTCAATACTGTTTTTTTCAACATATTTCCTAAGGTGCTGACATGAAGAATAACTACAATCAAGGGCTTCTTTATTTGGTGATCATTTCCTTTACTCTTGTAACCTAACTGAATGTGTGATTCACAGGTGATATTGTGAAGACAAATTAGATGCTAGTCAATCTTAGGGGTTCAAAGGTTACTGTAAATTAAATAAAATGATCACTTTATATCAAGTGAACACTACTTAGCTCTTTGACCCCCGTGAGTGATGAAGATGTAATTTTCCCTATGATGTCAATATACTATCATGCAGACAGGTATTTCTCATTGATCAAACAATTGGAAGACCCAATATTAAGGCCTTGGGAGTGTGAAAGTTGATACAGGTGTCACAGTATAGTTTCAGTTAAAGTATATGATAGCTTGAAGGGTAAATGAAGAATCAAAAGTTGTGAATTTAGTGATAATAATAGGGGGTGTAGCATTCAAAAATAGGCAAGAGAAGAATGTTTGAGGAGAAATTCAATGAGGAGTAATACAGCCAGAGGCTTGCAATGACAAACTGAGCATCTTATGTGGTAAAATTTCCGCACAGCCCCATACTATTGTAAAAAAAAATCTGTTTTCCTAATGGCAATGTATTGTTTTTGTCGTTGTTTTCTCTATCCAAGAACAAAATGCATGATGTGGTATAGGGCTGAGCGGAAATTTTACCCTATTCTCCAAGAAAGCCGCAGTCCCATTACTGGCAATCCAAGACTAATTTCGTCATTATTTCCTTTATTCAAGAACTGTTTGCATAATGAAGTATGGGGTTATGCAGAAGTCTTTTCAAGCTTACAGAGGGTGCATATAAGTTTATTTTAAAAAAGGTTCGGTTATTTTCAGCAAAACTACAGAAATTTTGAAGTGCGTTAATTGGTTGGATTTGAACGTTGGGACAACGTCGACACGTATCAATTTATGACTGAAAAAGACACTCAGCAGTGGAGAGCAGAAGTCCAGATGATCCGTTTCCAACTCTACGATAAAATAATTGTATTGTTCTTTGTGGAAACTGTGAAAAGTCTGAAGAGATCGATTCATTGGTCAATAACTAACATTATGTAACTCGGTGTGACCGTCAGGCGGCAGAAGTGGAACGAACCCTCATCTGGGATTGAGGTTTGTCCGTCAAAACAATACTTCAATTGGATTCTACTCAATGACAGATATATAAATAAACCTACCAGAAAGTTAAAAACTTGCTGAGGATTGTGGCTTTGGCCATTGGATTGGCCTTGGTGTGTATCCTGTTTTCCATCTTTCTTCCCGCGTGTATAGTGTTCTTAAGAAAAAGAACGGAGAGAAGGAATGGGGAGACTAACAAGATAGGATTGCGTGACTTTCATGAATTCCGTACTGAAAGTGTGACGGGCCTTCAAGCGATTTTAAATCTTCTGCCTTCAAAGTTTGGCTCTGATCAGGATATCTTTAATGACTTTCCTTTGCAATATGATTCTTAAATATTTCTCTTAAGCTTGGTTGGTTTTGAATATGAGGTGCCATTTCCCCATCTTTGTGCTCTTAAGGCTAGGTGAAGCCGGTCTTTATTGTGTCATCACCCATAGTAACACATTCGATTACCTTGTGTATTTGAAAAATCTTTCTTGATACTGCTTGTCTGGCCTAGCAAATCGAGTTCAGGGAACCACCTAAAGCGTACACTCGCTATGAGATTGAAATACAGTTGTCACCGGCTTAACTTGAAAAATTAAACCGTGGAGGACATCACGGTTCTTGGAGTATTTAGTTTGGTGTTTGGCCTCTTCGCGTGTATTTGACTGCATAGCTTAATTTTATATTTTACAAGAGAGATAGAAGAGGATCACCGAAATCAGTGGGGGAGATTTTTTTTTTGTTTCTCAGTTTTAAAAATCAGAAAAAGTCGCAATATGATTCGATGCAGAAATTTATTAATCCACCATTCCGGAAGGCTGCTCCATCCCGGAATTATTCAACGGTAGGAAACTGTGATTGGTCAATATGCGATGAGGACTCGTTTCTGCGCAACACTGAAAGAGCACTGACTGATTGAGACTGAGTGTGTGTAAAAATATTTACCGACACGTCTGTTTCTCAATTTACCTGAGCTTGGCAATGGATACAAAAATTCCAGTTATCGATTTGGCTAACTTTGAAAAAGGCCAGCCGACCGTAGAGCAGACGATAGAAATTGGAAAAGCTTGTTTGGAGTTTGGCTTCTTTTACGTCGTCAACCATGGAATCGGGGAAGAACTAAAAGGAAAAGTCTTTGAAAAACTATGGCAATTTTTTAATCTCTCGACTGAGAAAAAAGGAGAAATTCACAGACGTAACGGTTTCCGTGGATATTTTACGAAAGGAGAAGAGCACAGCATTGAGTATGGCTGCGTTGAGTGGAAAGAAGGGATATATTATTTTCGTGAATTTAACAACGTACCACAGGGAAGAAGAGAAAGAGTTTTCTGTGGCTCTAACCCTTGGCCGAACGATGAATATGTCCCGAGATTCCAGAAAGTAATATGGGAGTACTTTGAAAAGACTCAGGCATTGGCGTCGAAATTGCTGGGCTGCATGGCGATATTTTTAGGTTGGTACTGCAGAAAATTGAAATTTGTTAGTCGGAGACGTGCTGGCCGCTACGTGACGGAATGCTCGAGCAGGCCCTCTTTGGTTAAGATTTTATCGACAGGGTTCCAAGTACAAAAACAGTCCTTTTCACCGGTGAATTTTCACATTAAGGTCCTCTCTGAACTCAAACGTAGTGATTTCGAGAGTTGAACGAATAGAGTACGTGCCAGTTGCACTCACTGAGGTCATTTGTACTTTACATTCCAGCTGTACGTGATCTCTTTGATACTTGCAAAATTTTCATTTTCTTGTGAATGAGTATGGTTGCCTACCTCCTATTCCCTCTCTCGGTGTGAAATGAGTACCGGGTATTAACTTTTCTCTCACGAGTGACCGAGACAGAATTTCTCCTTACAATATCAATGTAAAATCAAGCAGACGCGTGATTTAGAGAAATGTAAATTAAGGGTTACTAATTGATACAATACCAAATTCTCTTAACTAACATCACCAGAGTTGTATGGCAGACGGTAGGGAGAATTACTAATGAGATGTTAAGAGTGAAAGGGTTGGGCAATGATACCTGACAAACTTCTCTGTTTGTTTACTCTTTTGCAGGCCTGGAAAGGGATTTTTTCAACAAGGAATTCACTAATGATCCATTTGCTCAAATAGCTATGTTTCACTACCCTCCCTGCCCTACATCAAAAGATGACCCAGAGATGTGGGGAGTGGGGAGACACACTGATTATGGCATGCTTACAGTTCTTCTCCAGGATGATGTAGGTGGACTTGAAGTGGAGACCAAAGATGGACTGTGGACAGATGTTCCCCCAGTTCCAGGCTCTCTCATCATTAACATAGGAGACATGGTAGAGATCTGGACAAATGGGGCTTTTAAGGCCCCTCCCCACAGGGTCAAACTGTCAGCAACTAATCATAGGCTTTCAGTTGCAATGTTTTATGAGCCAGGGTTTGAGAGTGTTATCTCACCCATTCCTGTTGACAAAGCTCTAATTCCTTTAGAAAAATCTATGGCAAAGCCCTTTTTGACGTTTCCAATACGCTATGGTGATTATGTTCTGAGTAAATATTGCAGCATCCTACCAGAGAATAAGCCATAACATAAAATATGTAACACATGTAAAGATACAGTTCTAGATAATTTGTTGCTTTTTATAAGAATAACTCGTGATTTATGAAGTGAATTATAGGATTATTAATGCACTCTGTTGCCAAGTATTGTAGCTACCCCAAGAATTGAAAAAAATAATAGAAAAAATATTTAAGCTGCATTCATTTGTAACTGTTGATAACAGCTTGCACAGCCATTACCAAATTTAAATTTGTTGAATTTTCCCCCTCTTGGATGAAAGATAGGCCATGACAGATTTCCCTAATCTGCTCCCATCTAGTATACTCTGCAATTTAGTGTGCTTAGTGAGAGAAAAATCAATAAACCTTTGCAGAAATAAAACAAAAATATGAAGAAAAGACTTATGCCACCTTACACACAGGCAAATGTTAAACCTATAACCTGCCAGGTGGATTTTAAGGCAATTGAAAATTTCCATGCAAAATTAACCACAAGGGTTAGAAAGCAGTTTATTTTCCCTTTGGCAGGCATAATTTTTGCTAGCAAGTGCTCAGTTTTTTCTTGGTTGAAAATTATAGCTGCATGGTGTGGGACAATAAAAGTTACTTTTCCATTTCCCCACCCCATCATTCATTCTTACTTTAACTCAATTACATTGCCAGTGAAATGAACAAATGCAAGGTTGCAACATTAACTTACCTTGACATCTGCATTGAAGGGTTAGTCAAGACCAAAAAAATAAATGTTTCCCTTTCCCAGCCTTTTGTATGGTGTAGAGTATTCATAGGTCAAGTGATTCATCTCATTGCCCTTATTCAACTGTCTTTTATTCAGTGATCAAGATAGTATATTTACCATAGGATACTGACAATTAGTTATTTGCAGTGCTTTCAGTAAGATTTGAAGTAGGTGGCTACCTCGGTAAAGCACTCGCCGGAGGATAATATGAAAAACAATTTCGATCTTATTAGCCCATTAGTTCCATTAGAGTAAAATTGCTTCAAACAGAGTTTTCTGCGGCGAACTTTGGTAAATGATCGTTAAATACTGGTCTCCTTTGTAACAACTGTTTAACTGATTGTTTATTTCTAATCAAAATCTTCCATTTGCTGACTTGCAAACCTGCTGCCCGAGTTTCACACAAAAAGTCCTCTAAAAGGACATGTGATTACCGGCTACTGAAATTTTAGTCAGTATGTTCTTGCAAGCTTAAAATCTTATTTTTCCAGGAAATTTGGTTTACAGTATAACAAGACAGTACCAATACCACATCTCGTTCCACACGTGAAGGAGTTACTATATCCATTCCAACATGGTTTTCAGAAGGGAAGGTCTCGTGTCGCGCAACTCTTAGAAGCTTTTTATGATATCAGTGGCGCGCTGGACCGTGGGATTGAAACTGATATTATCTATCTTGACTTTGCCAAGGCTTTTGACTCTGTATTTCCCGCTAAGCTGGTATCCAAGTTATCAACCTTTGGAATAAAGACCCTTTACTAACTTGGTTTCACTCATATCTAACTGGGAGGAGTCAGAGAGTGGTGATAAATGGAACGTCTTCTAGATGGACCGCTGTAGGGTCAGGTGTCTCGCAAGGGACAATCACTTATCTGGTTCATATCGTATTGATATTCGAATTCATATCGTATTGAGATTTTTTTTTGTTTGTTTCTCAGTTTTAAAAATCAGGAAAGTCGCAATATGATTCGATGCAGAAATTTATTAATCCACCATCCCGGAAGGCTGCTCCATCCCGGAATTATTCAACGGTAGGAAACTGTGATTGGTCAATATGCGATAAGGACCAGTTTCTGCGCGCAACACTGAAAGAGCACTGACTGATTGAGACTGAGTGTGTGTAAAAATATTTACCCACACGTCTGTTTCTCAATTTACCTGAGCTTGGCAATGGATACAAAAATTCCAGTTATCGATTTGGCTAACTTTGAAAAAGGCAAGCCGACCGTAGAGCAGACGATAGCAATTGGAAAAGCTTGTTTGGAGTTTGGCTTCTTTTATGTCGTCAACCATGGAATCGGGGAAGAACTAGAAGGAAAAGTCTTTGAAAAACTATGGCAGTTTTTTAATCTCTCGACTGAGAAAAAAGGAGAAATTCACAGACGTAACGGTTTCCGTGGATATTTTACGAAAGGAGAAGAGCACAGCATTGAGTATGGCTGCGTTGAGTGGAAAGAAGGGATATATTATTTTCGTGAATTTAACAACGTACCACAGGGAAGAAAAGAAAGAGTTTTCTGTGGCTCTAACCCTTGGCCGAACGATGAATATGTCCCGAGATTCCAGACAGTAATATGGGAGTACTTTGAAAAGACTCAGGCATTGGCGTCGAAATTGCTGGGCTGCATGGCGATATTTTTAGGTTGGTACTGTAGAAAATTGAAATTTGTTAGTCGGAGACGTGCTGGCCGCTACGTGACGGAATGCTTGAGCAGGCCCTCTTTGGCTAAGATTTTATCGACAGGGTTCCAAGTACAAAAACAGTCCTTTTCACCGGTGAATTTTCACATTAAGGTCCTCTCTGAACTCAAACGTAGTGATTTCGAGAGTTGAACGAATAGAGTACGTGCCAGTTGCACTCACTGAGGTCATTTGTACTTTACATTCCAGCTGTACGTGATCTCTTTGATACTTGCAAAATTTTCATTTTCTTGTGAATGAGTATGGTTGCCTACCTCCTATTCCCTCTCTCGGTGTGAAATGAGTACCGGGTATTAACTTTTCTCTCACGAGTGACCGAGACAGAATTTCTCCTTACAATATCAATGTAAAATCAAGCAGACGCGTGATTTTGAGAAATGTAAATTAAGGGTTACTAATTGATACAATACCAAATTCTCTTAACTAATATCACCAGAGTTGTATGGCAGACAGTAGGGAGAATTACTAATGAGATTTTAAGAGTGAGAGGGTTGGGCAATGATACCTAACAAACCTCTCTGTTTGTTTACTCTTTTGCAGGCCTGGAAAGGGATTTTTTCAACAAGGAATTCACTAATGATCCATTTGCTCAAATAGCTATGTTTCACTACCCTCCCCACCCTACATCAAAAGATGACCCAGAGGTGTGGGGAGTGGGGAGACACACTGATTATGGCATGCTTACAGTTCTTCTCCAGGATGATGTAGGTGGACTTGAAGTGGAGACCAAAGATGGACTGTGGATGGATGTTCCCCCAGTTCCAGGCTCTCTCATCATTAACGTAGGAGACATGGTAGAGATCTGGACAAATGGGGCTTTTAAGGCCCCTCCCCACAGGGTCAAACTGTCAGCAACTAATCATAGGCTTTCAGTTGCAATGTTTTATGATCCAGGGTTTGAGAGTGTTATCTCACCCATTCCTGTTGACAAAGCTCTAATTCCTTTAGAAAAATTTACGACAAAGCCCTCTTTGGCGTTTCCAATACGCTATGGTGATTACGTTCTGAGTAAATATTGCAGCATCTTACCAGAGAATAAACCATAACATAAAACCACTAAGTTACTGGTTAGAATATCTTGACTTGGTTTTCTTTTTTAAGTGCCTTCATGGGCTTATAGATTTCACTCATGAATTTAGTTATTATTTTTCTTTTCTAAAGGGCAACATGCGCTGTGCTTCATCAGGGCTGCATTTAAAGTTAAATGCCTTTCGTACGTCTTCCTTTCGAGACTTCTACTTCAACAGAATAACTTTGATGTGGAACAGTTTACCTAAAAATATCAAGGATTCAGACACTATAAGCTCTTTTAAAAGTAAACTCAAGTCGTTTTATTTTACTAAACTTTTAAAGCTTTTGATAGAGACAATTTTCGTTCTTTTAAATTAATTTGTCCTAAGTGTCGCAGTGTAAATACTTCTTCTGTCTGTACTTGTTAAGTTAAGTTAAGTTGTTAATTTGTATACTTTAGAATGTTATGTGTAACTTAGATTATTTGAATTGTAGTTTAGTCAGATCAGGGAAGGGATCTTTTTTCGGGATATTTCTTTCCAGGATATTTTTTACAGGGCTGGGTGTGGGTGTATTAACCAAGTAGGGGACTTATGTTCTATTGTTATGCACCTGTACTTGTACTTGTACGAATCCATTAAATGAATAAAATAAATAAATAGACCTCTCAGTCTCTTGCTTGGAACGCTGAACACACTTTTTGTGATTGCAAGTTTTTATTTTGTTTTTGTTTTGTTTTTTGATGTGTTGAGTTTTGTTGGTTACTGAGTGAAATTAAAGATTTGCAGCAGTGACGTCTACCAGTTTTATTTTCTGGAAAAACCTCAGCATTTTTCTTTTCTGCAAAATTGTTCATTTACTGTTTACAAAAGATAATTAAATTAAATCAATCAGCCAATGAATTTAGCTGTTTCCATGACTTGTGTTTCCTGTGATCGTAAACAATCATCGTTTAGTCATTGTGTCTAAAAAGTAGCTCTTTTGAACCTTCCTTACATCTAGAGAAATCGAGATCATAGAAATTGATGTCCAGCAAGATGAAAGCACTACAAACAGGTGAACTAAATTTACTTTATGATATTCTTGCTTAGGGTTCATGGTTGAGCAGGTAGGCTTGAGTCTCTTCCCCCATAATAGTAAATTTGGTTGATTATTTATGGAAATCCGTGGGGGTAGTCTGCAAGGTAGTCAGCAGAGTAGTCCGTGGGGTAGTCCACAGAGCAGGGGTCAGTGGGTAGTCTGCAGAGCGGGTGTCAGTCTTTTCAACTCTCCCATAAGTGCCTTTTTACATGGAGGGAAGGTCACCTTTCTTGACAGGCCTCCCCTCCAGGAGGGTCTACAAAGGGTACGTATGGGGGGGGGGAAGGTGGAAAAGGGTTTGTAAGTGATGTATGATTAAGCCAAAAACTAATAAGTGACACATGAGTTTTACAGAGAGGCAAGGTAAAAAGGTGAGATGTGGAGTTTTTTTCCATCCCTTTCAAATTTGTGATCATGAAATACTGTTTAACTAAAGCAGGTGTAAACCCCCTCCCCCCTTATCCTCCTTCCTTCTATCTCGTAAGTACAGTTAACCTTGGGGGAAGGTGACCTTCTCCACTCACAAGCCTCAATATCTTTTCTTCAGGGCTAACTTTTTGCTTCATTAAGCCTGCGAAAGCTAAAGATTAGGTTAGCCCCCTAGTTGGGTCAGGTTTAAGGCTAAGAGATCACTGTTACACTCGCTATCACAGAGATTGTACATATTTGAGCAGAGAAATTCCACAACTTTCCATGACTTTTTCCATAACTTTTAAAAAAATTCAATGAGCTAAGTTGAGCAAGTGTGCTGATTGGTTCACTCCAAACAACACACAGATTTGCATAAATGTCATGCAAGTTTGCAGTGTACACAAAAATGTGCACAAGTGTAGATCTTGCAACACACCCTAATGTAGAGTTTAATTCTACTGAAATTAAATCTTACTTTGGATCTGCATTGCTTAGCACTTACAGATAACCTGCTGATTTCCATGACTTTCCATGATTTTCCAGGAACCAAACCTAAATTCCACCACTTTCAAGGCCTGGAAAATAAAATAATAAAATTCCATGACCTACCATGTTTTCCACAACCCACACAAAACCAACAATCATAACAAAGATAGCTTACCCCAGTAATAAGCCTTAAGAATTATCTTTGGAACTATATATGCTGGCCAGAGGTGACAGTCTGAACCTGGGTGATACAAGATATCTCCCTGTGGTATTGTCCAGTATCATCTGTGAAACCTTTCACTGACCTTTTATCTAGGAAAAGTTTGCTGTGCAATAGAAATACTGAAATATCATTGCAAACAATAAAAGATCAAACCAATAGTTGTTTATTACCAAGTAACAACAGCCTCTGAACTCAGAAATCAGTTTACATTTCACCTGACGAGATACATATTTTGAAAATTCTCTTAATTACACTCAGCCATAAGTATTAACAGTTTATTGCATTTTGCAAGACCATTAATGTTCCAATTAGCCACAAGAAAAGAACAGTTACATAAAAAAAATTGCCAGCAAGGATCCAAAGGCATCAATTCAGCGAAAAAAACAAAACTTTCTCAAATAACGGTGTCGATCTTTGGCTGATTGATCGGCGTCACGTTATCAACATTGCGTGCGCAGATTAAAAGACTTCAAGAAAATATTTTCTTTACAGTAGAAGTAAGAAGATCCGCATCAAATTTCATTCGTCATTTTCAAAGTCTTTCAGATTCTTCCTGTTTCGCTTGTGAAAGTCGTCATTTGCCCATGTGTAGATCAATATTCCAGTGATAACAGCCGGTAGCTGATACGGTAACTGCAACCTCACTCTTCTGGCCATGTTTGCCATCCCTTTCGCAATCCCAGCAAAAGCACGTTGTTCGAATGGAGACAAGGAATAAGTGATGATATTCTTGGCATTCGTCAGCATCCCAAATTTTCGACCCATCTTGAACCAGAAGCACCCAAACAGGGAAGATTTACCACGGGAATGCAGTTATAACATCAACTCGAAACAAGCCAATATGGCGTTCAAAGCTCGCTAGGAAGCATGGGATCGTGGATCGACTTCGTCTCTGAATAATATCGGAGGCTTCCGACAAGGTCCGATTGTTGACGATCACTGATATCAATGAATGCGGGCTCGCGGGAAGTTGTTTGCACGTCAACCAACGTCCACGGTGTTGAGTTCCGCTTTCGCGTGATAGACCACGTCTTCCAGCTGAGTCATTTATTTGATTCAAGATTCTCTGACCTTCTAATGTAACCAATTTACAGATTTACTTTTTTGAGGGCGTTTGGACCTCGACTTGCTGGCATGCGAAGGAGGAAGAGGAGTGTAGGCGAGCGCTACCGGCTCGTTGCTCCAAAACATGCTCAAACTGATGAACTTCTCAATAACATTCACTCTAAGTACAATCTTGGCAATTCGATCACGACCACCAAGTATTCACTATGGTCCTTTCTTCCAAAGAATCTATTCGAGCAATTTCACCGATTTGCGAACATTTACTTCTTGATGATCATAATTTTAAATTTGATTCCTGAAATTAATGCATTTGGGAAATACATCGCCATGGTGCCTTTGATATTTGTTCTTTCGGTGACGGCGATAAAAGATTTATATGAAGATCGAAGACGGTACAAATCGGATAAAGCGGTGAATAATAATATCTGCCATGTTTTTAACAGGTGAGTATCTATATTTTCCAATTTTATTTTTTGTTTTTTGCTGCTCTTGGATTTACCCAGTTGCATATTTTATCAAGTCGACGTGGACGTTCTTCAAATCTTGTTCTTAAAAGCAAATATTCTAAGCTGAAGATCAGTATGTCTTTTATGTTTCATTATTACTCTAGAAACGTATAGAGAGTGACATATTGGAAACACGCTTTCAATCTCAATATTTCTCTTATGAGGTTGATAGATCTAATATACAAGAGTGCTTGAAAGATTTAGTCTGCAACATGCATTACAAAGATCTAGACTTGTGATAAGTAAACACATCTGCCCACACACTTAAGTAATTTTTAATGAACGGAATGATGTTCCCCATGACAAAGCAGGAAAAAAACCAAACTACAATTAACCTTCACTTTAACATGAAGCTTTTTTTTTCTCCTTGTACTTTTCCCCTGTAATAAATCAAAATTGCAAAATATGCATGTTGACCTTCAGTTGACCAAAAGAGAGCATGGAAAGACTACAAGCGTTTATTAACTTTTGTAGACATTGTGAAATTAATGATGTCAGGTTAAAAAGCAATGTTTACTGGAGGCTGATGTGGTTCAACTGCCTAAAGATGATTTTCAAAATAGAGTGGCACTTGAAATATTATGGAGATTTGTGATCATAGGGTTAACTTATGCAAAAAGTATTTTTTTAGCTTAAGCCAAAAACTGCTGTTTACCATTCAAAGATAATTAAACATTTTTATGATTTAAGAGAAAAATGTTTATTTACAGAATCATCTCAAAATAAAACTTCAAATGTTACATCACTAAAAGCACAGGAAAGAAAAAAAGGCAATTTCATACATATCATAAAATATCTCTTTAACTGGATCTGCAAATTTTCTAATTTGTGATGTGTTGCTAATCCAATTTAATCACAGGTTTTTTATGTGAATGGACTTATTAGAAATATATGTTTGTGTTAAATTCGGAATTTACATAATAACAGTTTAATGTAAGTTCTGTTTCAGCCAAGTTTAACAGTGGCCTCTGACAAGCTTTCTTTTCTGGGCATGAAAAATTTGATATGTTGTGCTTAGATAAAGTATGTTTATAGTAGTTGACTTAAGTGAATTGTTTCATCTTCAAAAAATGAACTCAAACAGAAACCACAAAAAATTACTTAATTTAGAATAGAATGATATAAGATGTACATTTATAGATTTTTTGGACCTAGTCTAAAAAAATTATGACATGTAAAAAGTTATATATAAAAGCCAGAAATTATAGTCAATAACTAGAACAGTATCAGACACCATTACCAACCAGTATAAATAAAATTATCATATGGCCAACAAATTAGCAGCTGCAGACAGTAACTGTTGTTTGAGCTTCATTATGTCAGGTGCAATGTGTTCTGCACCAGTTCATATATTCTTTTCATATCCTTCCTTCTGGAATGAAATACACTCCATACACTTTTTAAAATAATAATTCAACTTATTTTTTTATATTTTAAAGTGAGACTAAGAAATATCAACCAGTCAAATGGAAAAAGGTGGTAGTTGGAGATTTTGTGAAGCTTAGAAGTGATGAGAGCATCCCATCAGATATCCTTTTAATTAACACAAGTGATGAAAATTCTATTTGCCACATTGAGACAGCTAACCTTGATGGAGAAACCAATCTGAAGCAAAGAGAAGTGGTGAAAGGACTTAATCTGGTATTTATAGATTTATTTTTGAATTGTTTTTGCTTGATACTTAGCTGAACAACTCTCATAGTTAATGGTTTCTTTTCATTAACCTTTGAAGAATATGGATACTGATTTTAAGTTAAACAGATAAAATTTTCTAGATCAGTTTAATTTCTATTTTGAAATTTGCTTGAAGAAAGAAATTAAAATCCATATGGGTTTAAAATTTTTAAACTTAATTTTGCTTGTTTATAAGGGTCATTAAGTGTTAATTCTTA